GGATTCTTCTGTTGCCTCCAGTCACCTCTTCATCTGTGTGGAAATTGTCCAGGATTCACTGCCACATTTGAGGATTAATATAACTCAGACGTTCAGCAATATTATCTGTGTCGAACGGAACTTTCCTGTTTCTTGTTACATTAATTACCATTTGGAAGGCATCATTTGCTTTTCCAATGCACGTTCAGATTTCGGTGTCATATCTTCCATCCTCCGTGAAGACCTTGTCAGGATATTTAAACTTCTGTATTTGCTTGATTTTGACATCTCAATTTTGTAGTTTTCTTCCGGAGCAGTTTCTTTGCTGACAATCAAAAATTCTGATTCTTAAAATTAATAGTCCTTTCTTCTCGCTTTCCTTTACTGCATTGACATATGTGTATCTGATATTGTTAAGCTTGCGCTAGAATCAAGAATAAAATGGGTAAAATACGAGAGCAGAGGAATGGAACATATATCCAAGAAGGACGCGAAAGAAGGAAGAAAATGGAATGAATGTGGATGAGTTTTTGAATTCATGAAAGTGTATATTCAAAAAAAAAAAAAAAAAAAGAAAAAAGAAAAAATTTAAATAAATGATAGAAAGTCAAAACAAGAATGAAAAATAGAATGGAAAAAGCAAATATAAAGATGATAAACGAAAGAGAATAACAACTAAAAAGAATAAATCTCAAAAAAATATAAAAATAAAGGATGAAGAATGACGAAGGATGAAAATGAAAGACAATTATAAAAAAGATTGATGAAGAATAAAAATGAAAGAAATTATAAAAGGAATTGAAGAAGAATAAAAATGGAGGAAAATAATAAAAAATATTAATGAAGAAAAATGAAGGAAAATTATTAAAGAAATGAAGAAGAAAAATGTGGAAAGAATTATAAAAAGAATTGAAGAATAAAATGAAGGAAAATATAAAAAGAACTGAAGAAGAATAAAAATGAAGAAAATGTATAAAAGGAATTGTTGAAGAATAAAAATGAAGAAAAATTATAAAAGGAATTGATGGAGAATGAAAATAAAGAAAATTTATAAAAAAAGAATTGAAGAAGATTAAAATGAAGGAAAATTATAAAAAGAATTGACGAATAGTAAAAATGAAGGAATATTATAAAAGGAATTGATGAAGAATAAAAATGAAGGGATATTATAAAAGTAATTGAAAAAGAATGAAAATGGAAGGTTATTCTAAAAAGAATTGAAGAACTAAAAAAAATGAAGGAAACTTATGAAAACAATTGATGAAGAATAAAAATGAAGGTAAACAACCAAACAAAACCAAACCAAACCGAAGCCAAATATATTTTCGGTAATTATTCAATGTGTTATCTGGTCGATTATTAACCGCATTATTTCATGTGAAATTTTCAGTACCCAGCTGATCTTACACAACTCACTTGCATTCGGACATGACAGGTAATGTTTATGCTACAGAGCCAAATAGATTGTACATTTATAAACCACAGGGAAAAATATGCATCTTACAATTATAAGATTCATACGAGAGATGGTTTTAACTCAGTCTCTCGATGAATTATGTTATCATGTACCCTAGAAATTTCAGTTGTCTTTTCCTGATGTTAAGCATACATTTCTTTTTTTGTTTTTTTGCTTCGGTGTCACCGTCTTCTTCTATGTTCCGTGTTTAAAAAAAGTAATTTATCAATGTCTAGCTTCATTCAGTAACCCTCTTTGTCAGGATCGATTGTCATGGTCCTTGTGAAGATCACTTCACTTAACTGATAATCATCAGTACAATAAATGTCTTAACGTTTTTATGACAACACAGATATTTTCATTTAACAACATATCGGCTTACACTGATATCGCTGCAACAGCATAGTCTCATCGTTGTACTGCTGAAATATCGAGATGTAACCGCAAGTTCTATTCTAATAGTTTCTTTTCTCACACTTATCACCTGTGGAACTCGTCAGGGTTTTTTTTTCTTCTATGTTCAGTTTTCCTTCATGACGCTTCACGTTTCCTGTCATGTGTAGCTCTTAATAAATATTGTCTTTTTCTTATCTCTCCTAAACCCTGTTCTATCATCCATTTAAACAAACTCGCTAGGTAGGTTATCAGTTGTTTTCCTATGTCCCTTTTACCTTCGATCTGTCCCGAGGAGGTTTTAACACAGCCTCTCGATAAACTGAGCTATAGCTTTTTTCAGAAAGAAGACATTTTGAAGGCATAAACCGTCATTTACATGAATCTCTTCTTCTATAATGTATCCCTTCAGAACGTTGGCGATCAGGGCTCTCTACAATTTCCTGTCCTTTTTATCTCTTCATAAATTTCGTCTTTTTGTTATCTCTCCTCAGCCTTGCTCTGCCATCCATTTACTCAAGCTCATTAGGTAGATTATCCGTTACTTTCCTCTTCCTTTAAATCTATCCTGTGTGTATCAAATTCTCCAAGCCCTCTTTTCTCATTATGTGCCCTAGAAATGTCAGCTGTCTCTTCTTGATTTTAAGTATAAATGTCCCATTTGCTTCCATTTTCTCTAAAATTTCATCGTTGCTCACTTGTTCTGTTCATGGTATTCTCCTTCTGTCGAACCATAATTTTATAAATTCTAATGTTTGTTTTTAAATTTATTATGGCAGAAAAATTTATATCTATCTATCTATCTATCTATCTATCTATCTATCTATCTATCTCTCTCTCTCTCTCTCTCTCTCTCTATATATATATATATATATATATATATATATATATATATATATATAGGGCGTCCATCATAAAATGACATCATTTTAAAAGCAATTATCTTGAAAACTACTAAGTCCAGCTAAATGAAATTGAATAGTTTACGTGTTGAACATCATAAGTTTATTATGGGACCAATTTCATAAGTGTTCAATATTTGCACCGCCTGTGACACGACACGCGTCAAATTGGTAGTTAAGCTCTTGCCAAACACGCTGTAGCATGTTTCCGGTAACATTATCCAGTGCCGAAGTGATTCTTTGCTTGAGTTCACCAATGCTAGCAGGAAGAGGAGGGAACATAGATCAGTCCCTTCATATATCCCCATAAAATGAAATCACATGAGGACAGGTCCGGTAACCGCAGTGGCCATTTCATCAGAAACCTGTCTTCATCTCCACCACACCGATCCATATCTCTGGCAGATTCTCATTTAGATAACAAAAATAAAACATTAAATATAAAATCTTGATTTGTTTCTATACATTCTGTGAAAATTTGAGGTTATTTCAACAAGAATTTCCATAATTATTGGCATGCGAAATGATGATACCCTGTATAACATTAAAAATTCTACTTATAAATTACTGTTCAGTATGAAAGACATTTACACCTAACAGGAACACTAGAGGTTCGTTTTTAATTAATTTTCCAGTGATAATGCGTTAAGTCAGGAAAATATTTTTATATAATTAGAATGATCTATATAAATACGAAAACAGTATATGCGAAAACTGGTGGAATAAAAAGACAGAAAGAAAATCGTAATATGATAGAAGGAAAGTTAACAAAAATTAAGTAAAATTAAAGCAAGGAATATGAATGAAAGACTGAAGAAAGAAAAAAAAGAAAGTGCTCAAAAAACGAAAGAAAGAAAGAACTCAAAAAACGAAAGAAAGAAAGAAAGAAAGAAAGAAAGAGAAAAGAAAGATCAAAAACGAAAGAAAGAAAGGAGCAAAGAAAGAAAAAATAAAATTAATAAAATTAAAGGAAACTAACCAAAAAGTAAACTGAAAAAATGGAGGAAAAAATAAGGGCAGACAAAAATGAAAAAGAAAGAAAAATGAAGTATGGAACAAAAGAAAATAAGGAAGGAAAACTGGAGCAAGAATACAACGGGAGAAAGAGAGAGAAACTGAATGATAAAAATAAAAAGAAGAGAAAAACAAAAAGAAGAAAGAAATGAAAAATACACAAAGCGAATAAAAAATGAAAGTAAGAAAAATTAATAAAATATTTGAATAGGGAATAACAATAAATAACAACCATAGGAAAATCCCCAATTATGCTTAAAATACAAAGGCAGAATAAAAACAAGTAAGGTCTGACTAAATCGATCATGGCAACGGAATAACCGTAAAGGGAGACAACTCGTACCCACACTTGCACTAATCAATCCAAACAAATTCTTAACGCAAATTATTTTTTTTTTCTTTTTCGAGATTTCTATTCATTCTTGTCTCAACGCTTTTTCGTCAAACATTGTTTTTTATTATTATTATTTTCTCTGTCATTGTTTTCTAGCAGTATCTTTTATGCATATTTTTAATCAAACCCTCTAATGTTTTACGAGTGATAGAGTTGGGAAGGTCCGGATTGCTGCAAGGACAACATGGCGTCCACATCACATTTTACGACAAAAGGAACTAATGAAATTTTGCGGACAATAGCCAACGGACCAGTTATATATATATATATATATATATATATATATATATATATATATATATATATATATATATGAAAGAGAGATACAGAGTGAGAGAGAGATATACATACATAATGATAATAAAGGAAAGAAAAATGGATGTTATCGCTTTTAGAATGACCACCATTACTACGGTTGTCTATACTTATATATATATATATATATATATATATATATATATATAGTGAAAAGTGTTTGCTTGTCTGTTCACGGTATACATCAGGACGTTTTTATATCTATTCTCAGTTTTGGTTTGCGTAATTATTGAACTAAGTCGAAGGTTGTATCGCAAAAAAGATGTGCGGATATCTTTTTCTACTTTTCAACATTTTGCAGGTTATTTAAAGATAGAAAATATTTTTAGATTGTAAGAACGATGTTTTTACGATGATAATGATTTAGTGATACCACACGTACTAATTAATCCATAGCTGGGGGGAAAAGAGGTGGTTAGATACAGTTCCTAAGCGTATTTGCGCGTAATTGAATATAATAAACCGAAGAGGAATTGGAACCCGGCGCTCAAATTATCAATTCTGTGGCCTTTATCCATTACAGCACTGATACATCGAAGCTTATAGAACCTGATATTCCTAGGCGGTCATCTATCAAGGTACTCCCCAAGCTCGACGTTGCTTAGCTTCAGTAATCGTACGGGAACCGGTGTTTAAATGTGATATGGTCGTAAAACTGGAGAAAGCGGAAAATCTACCATTTATCTGCCATAAATATTTATCATTAATAATATGATTTAGCGAGGGACGGTGGAGTAAAGGGGGGTATAAATTATGGATAGCGGCTCGGATTGAGGAAATCGAATTCCAGTCGAAACCATTATATTCACTTACGTACTAATAATCTCCACTTCCCCACCTCAGTTATGTGTAAAAAGAGGACAGACCGGATTCTATAGCCTTGAATGGCAACTGAACTACAGCAGAAAGATATGGCAACCCCACCCACCGCGGGGAAAAAATATCTACTTAAGCGTGTATCAAGCATGTCACATAACTGGCTGAATATGATTTATCGTATGTGACCGTACCCAGCAAGATTATAATCACTTCTGGAAGTCCCTTCTGATATTTTGCTTTCCTGCCAACAACAATCTTTAAAAATTTTCAATTCAACGTCAATCGCCGTCTTCTGTCTTTCTGGAACTTGTTCTTTTGTTGTTCGTTCGTCTTACTTAAGACTTCTCATTCTCTTCCACTGCCAGTAAACCCTTAGAGGCATTATGGCCTTGCTTGCTTCTTACATTAATGCTTTACTCTTCTCGTGAAGATTATGTAAATAAAAAAATGAAATATCAGTCAACATCAACCGTAATTACATATTTATTAACATCTTAGACATGTGTTGAAGATGATGTAAATGGACATTGAAATATCAACAGAAATCAATAAAACATTTACTTATTATTTATTTACATGAGCTAAAGACGATCAAAATATCAAAAAATAAAACGTAGAAGACAGGGAATAAATGGGTTCATGCCTTTGTTAACCCTAGAACACTAACCATGGTTATATAGTACCCAGCGCAAATTTTCCTATTTTTAATTACAATTTTCAGTACCTGATTGTCTTACCTAAATAATATGTTTTCCAGTTCCTATTAATGTTAACTCAAAGTACAAAGTTCGAAGTGCCTGCATGTAAAATATTTCAAATAAAGATTTATATTTAATTTTTTTTTCTTGATATTTTCAAAATCGGATATGATATACCCATGGTTAGTAATGGTGTATCTTTAATTGATGGTTAGTGTTCTAGGGTTAAGTGAACGTATACGCTGCTAGATTATAATCACCTCAGGAACTCCCTTTCGATCTTTTTTCGTTCCTGTCAACTGTAATATTCAAAAATTTTAAAAGCAACATCAATCGTTGTCTTCTATTTTCCTGATTCCTGTTCTTCTCCTAACCAAAGTTCTCATTCTTTCCCACTCCCACTAAAATATTTACACCTATGTGGAATTGTTGCCTTGCTAAGGGTGAGATGATTAAAAAGAATTCTCTACTCTCATTATCATTAATGTCCAGATAAGATGAATATTTCTAAGCCAGGTAAGATCATTAAGAATAAGAATATAAAATAAGATATTTATGCTTAAATGTCGTTTTATGTCTTCAAGATATTCCATTTCTGTAAAAATCTTTAGCTTTGATTAAAAATTCCGGGCCACTATCCATTACATCATCTACAGCTACTGGTATTCCCAAGTAGTCACCCGTCTAGAAAATAGCCAGGTTAAATGTTGCTGAACCGGTATCGTAGGGAAACCGGTGTTTCAACGTGAATTGGCCGTAAATCAACAACAAAGACACAGATACTAATACGAAAGAATGAGTGAATCATAATCTTTCGTCTGAAAAAAAAAATATTGGTATGACATAAACAACAATGATGACGATGCTATCTTGAAAGAATTAATACACACACATATTTATAGAGAGGGAAAAGAGAGAGTTCGCTCATAAACTCCATTAGATTTTTAGTTGAGTTACTAAAAGAGATTAACTGAAACTGACATATCCCCCCCCCAAAAAAAAAAGGTATGTCACGTGAAAAGGAAAGATCTAACCCCGTGGAATAAATAAAGTGTTCCATTGGAAATTCCAACGTACATAACGTGAAGCCGATCGGAGCGTACAACGGCAGAAACGGCGTGAATATGGCAATAAAGATATCAAGGAGTACGTAAATAATTTTATTTTTTCAATCGATGCGGCATCAGACGAAAGAAAGTGAGACGTAGACATCCTTAGGTATATCAGGAACTAAGCAAAGTATTAAGAGCCAAAAAATATCATCATACATAAAAGAAAGAGATCTGTTTTTCTCTAATAGATAATGAAGAAAGGAAGCTTGGAGAACTTGACACCCACAAGACGTATTGGAGGTAGAAAGAAACATTACATAACTAACATAATGAGCTCTTGTGGATGAAAGGTAGAAAGTAAAAATAAGCTCCAACACTCCACATGCCATTATAAAAACATGTGACCTATTCTTCTAACCATAAATATCTGCGATTTTATCATTCGAATCTTTCATATTTTCTTTTTTCTTTAATCGATATCACCCCAAGGAAAGCAGTATAGTTACATAAAGGCAACTGTTTACAGGATGTGGAAGAATTAAGGAAAAAAAGAAAAAACATTAATAATGAGCAAAAGAGAAAACAATAATCAGGAGGACAGCAGATAACGATTGTCATTGCATTTAAATTTTGGCAGATTAAAATTGGCTGGAAGCATGTTCAACAAGCGAGAAGTGTGAGAAAATAAACTGTTAACATAGAACTTACGGCTACATCTAGCCAGCTCATATGTAAATTGATGAGATCTCGACAACAGTTTTGCACTGGGTTTAAGTTCACACAGTATATGTACCATAGCTTATCCGAACAATTACCATGAACATTTTTATAGAAAAGACACAGGCAGAGAACCTTACGGCAGTGGGAAAGTGACTGAAACCGAGCTGTGAGGTCAGGGTCAATAATATTGAGGATTCTTCTTTGGTTCTTCTCAAGAAGATCAAAGTAAATAGAAGGGACACCGGACCATATGTGGCAGCAATATTATAAACATGGTCGAATGGTAGACTTATAGTTATGAAAGATAGACTCCGGAGAGAAAAATTGCTACGGACGACACAGTGAACCGATTTCTTAGAAGCTGACCTGGCAAAGGATTCGGTATATTTTGTCCACTTCATATCAGTTGAGAACGCGAGCCCGAGGTGGGGGCAATGAGTTACTTTCCTTGGGGTTAGCATCGGCCATGCTGATGGAAGGCAGAGAAGGATCTCTTAGATGATTAATGAATAGAAGTTGAGTTCCGGAGAGGGTGAAATTGACACGCCTTCATTTGCTGCAGTTAACGATGGACTTCAGGTTGTATTGCATACCAGCTGCCATTTTGACCTTAATCGTGAGAAGCTTATTTGTCATGACATACATAATTGTACTTTTACTGTAGACGAATATTCTGCTTTTGTGATGTCATGTTACTGTCATCTGTGGAATTAAATGTGCATAGATGACTGCTTTCCCTGTTTTATTATAATGTAGACCTTGTCTTTTCAAAAGGTTCACCCGATCATACTAATGGGCCCTAATGGGTAGCCAGGCGTGCCCCAAGTAAATAGAAATGTATTTCATTAATTTTTTTTTAATTCTCAATAGAACTGCAAGATGATAAAAATTCATGGTCTGTTAAATTACAGACTAATCTCTTATATAAGTTCTGAACTTTGTAAATTGAGAGAAGAATATTATACAGTAGAATGCAAAAGTGGGTATAACAATGAAAAACAAAACATATACACAAAACTGGTTGTCTTGATTGTACAAACATACCAATACTGGCATAATACTTTCTGTATACATATTTTGCAGCATATATAGTGTTCTAAGAAAAGTATTTAGCCAAGAGAAATAAACTACATCTAATTTCAAAATTTAATTACGTAATCCCTACTCAACATAAATAAACAGTATTTGGAACTAGTATAGAGTAGGTCCTCCATTTGCTAGTTTCAGTGATTGTATTCGATTTTTCCTGGATTTGATCAAGTTATCAGCAATCATCTGATTCATATTTTGCCACTCATTTAGCCATGTTTCTTTAACTATTGCCACTGATTTTGATGACACGCTTTCGAAGTTTTCGGTAAAGGTGCTACCAAACGTGATCTATTTGATTCATGTCACGACTTTGGGGTTACCCATAGCAGTGACTAGATTCCTTCCGATTCCTTCCAGGCCTTTGCTACTTTGCTCGTATGACATGGCGCTCCATTTTCTTGAAAAAGTAGATATTGTTTTCCATCTGATTAGTTTCAAATAGTGGAAGCATATTATTTGACAGTATATTGGACCATTCAATCACTCATCAACAAGAATCAACTCAGATTTCTCTCCAGTCTAGAGGGCGCCCCACACCATTTCTCCAAATCCCTCCATGTTTCACGGTCGCCTGCAGACATTCTGTGTACCAAGTCTCATTCTGTTTTTTCCAAACATAAACTTATCGCGAATTTGAATATTGGGAGAATTTACTTTCATCTCTCCAAATTACAGACTGCCAAAATTCATAATCTTGCTCTCGTTTTCTCTCGCCCAGTCCATATCACTGTCCCTGTTAACCTCTGAAATCAAGGGTTTCATTCTTGCAACTCTTCTTTGATAGCCTAGCTCTTTCAGAATCTTTCTCGGCGCATATGGCGACATTTTCATGCTTTTGGCGACATCTTTGACGCTCTGGCGACGGTTTCTGATGACTTCCCTATTTAGCGCTCTTTTTGTTCGCTCAAACACCATGCCTGGTCTTCCTGAACGTTGTTCCACGCGACAATGGCCTTCTTCATTAGATTTCTTAACAATATTATTAACGGTTTGATGACTATTAACCTGGAAAAACCTAGCAGTTTCTCTATTAGACTTGCCACACTAATGCCATCCTGTTATTTGTCCTAGTTGAAATTTATCATTTTTCTTATTTCCGCGAAGTTTCATTGCAAAACATTAGTCAACTATCGTTCATAGATGAAAGTAGCTTGATACTAACACGTTATTGTCTGAAAAGAAAGAAGATCCATTATTACACGAGCCAAAATTGCTGTAATTAAGGGTGGCTAAAAAATTATCATAGTCCACTGTATAACCAGAACAATGTC